GACTTAATTCTGCATGTTGGGCCACTGGTTCGTCCTGACAAACACAAAACAAAATGAGGATTCTTACAGTATGAAAGTGTGATCACATTAGCTTAAATCTCGCTAAATGAGATGACATAATCACAGAATAACCAATATATTGACTCCATTGCTGCTTCATTTCTGCTACCCAGCAAGATGCTGACATGGGTTCCAATTGTACCTCCAAAAGAGTCCACTATACAAGAGTAGATTAAATCACAAAGTACGTGCTCTGCCAGATTATGTGTTTTTTCTTTGTATGTGGGATCAGTGTGATATGTGACTTGCCTAGGTCCTCCCTATTATGGCACATGTGAGCAAATATTTATTTGAACCCTAACCAGAGAATTAACCAAAGGGCAAGTTTCTATGTTTTGCCTACTCTCAATGTTCTAATATCTGTTTGTTTTGTTTTAATGTGCAAGAATGCTTAGCATACCTAGTCCACTTACAATATTTAAAAAAGCAGACCACATACACATAGCATCACTCAATTTTATAGAGTACATAGGGATCCCTTTGGCATCAATCCTCCACTGCTGTTTTCTCTTATAACATCGCTTGCCAGTGAGGGTAGACCAGCTCTTTCTGTAGAGTCTATGCACATAAGTTCCAAGAATCTCGTGTTCACTATTGCATCTCAGTTGCCCGAATATGCATTTTTTTTCTACATATTTTTTTATCCTTTCATGCAAACGTATATACATTTTATATAAATTTGGAATTAAATTTACAAAGTCTCAGCTAAATGCAGATGGACAAGATCTCTTGGAGAAACCTAGATCCCAAAAAAATTTATTACACAGGGTCCTTGGCACCTTGTAGGGACAATTAGAGAGAGAGAAAAACAACTGTACATATATATTTAAAACATATATATTTTGTGGATCTAAAAATGTAAATAATTAATGAAACATTAATGCCATTATTTTGAAGTTTGTATAATATTCCATAATTTATTATGAATGTCTGGATCGAGAGTGAGTAACAGATGGTATCTATAGGTCACATGGTTTTGTTTGTCTGAAAATTCTGGAATGTGGTTCTGAACCAATAGGAATCATATGAATGTTCTTAATTGATTGGTGTAACTACATAAAGAAAGGTTTTTATCACATTCTTTATTTAACTTGAGTGTTTGGATTAGGTTTAAAACTTCTCTGATTTTAAGGAAAAAGACTCTTACTCTCCATTCCTGAGTCCAGCAATTATTGTTTTATTTTAGATTAGTAATTGTAAGCAGATTAAACCTAAAGAAAACATAAGTCTGATGCATATTGATGTTTGTAACTGACACACAGACTTATTATAATACATACGTATATTATTATCACAGCAGGCCAGCCAAGAAGAAGAAAGAAGAGAAATATATATTATAGTGTAAGAGGAAAGTGCTTTTTCTGCAGTTATAATGATCAACAACAACATTAAAACCACTGACATGTGAAGAAAATAACATTGATTACATTGTTATAATGGCACTTGACAAGGGGTGGGATATATTAGGCAACAAGTGAAGAGCCAGTTCTTGAATTTTATGAGTTAGAAGCAGTAAAAATAGGCAAACTTTGACAAAGGGCACATAGTGATGGATAGATGACTGGGTCAGAGAATCTCTAAAATGGCAAGTCTTGTGGTGTGTTATCGGTATGCAGTGGTTAGTACCTACCAAAAAGTGGTACAATGAAGGACATCCAGTGAACCAGCATCAGGGTTATGGGCACACAAGGCTTATTGAAGCACATGGGGAGCGAAAACTAGCACGCCTGGTCTGATCACACAAAGGAGCTAATGTAGGTCAAACTGTTGAAAAAG